AATGGATAATTTTCTTAAAGCAAGAGTATCTCCATCTTCGAGTAATGAAATCAACTCTAACTATTGATTCAACTTTCATTAAGCAAGTTCAATCAAGTATATCTTTTGACCTTCTTATTCGTAATATTAAAGAAAATCCTTCAAAGTCTCATAATACTTCCAAATTTGAATTCAAGAATAATCTATTATATTTCGAGGGACACGTATATGTTCTAGAAGGTGAAGCTCAATTACGTGTTCTTCAAGCTTGTCATGACTTTTCAACCGGAGAACATTTTGGATACAATAAAACTTTGGAACTAGTATCCAAAGATTTTTGGTGGTCCCAAATGTAGAAGGTAGTCAAAGATTTTGTACAATCTTGTGATGTTTGCTCAAGATCAAAAATTCCTTGTCATCGATCTTATGGACTTTGTCAGCCATTACCTATTCCAGAACAACCATGGTTTTTTGTTTCTATGGATTTTATTATGGATCTTCCAATCTCAAGTTTGTGTAATTCTATATTTGTGATAGTAGATTGTTTTACCAAAATGGCACATTTTGTATCATGATCAAAATCTATCTTAGGTGAAGAAACTGCCAAGCTTTTCTTTGACAATATCTATCGATATCATGGATTATCAAAAGATATTATATCAGATAGGGGGACTCAATTTGTACCAAGATATTAGAGAATATTTTTTAAGATTCTAAAAGAGGACATAAAGCTTTCTTCCACCTTTCATCCTCAAACTGATGGACAAACAAAGCACGTAAATAAAGTTTTGGAACAATAGTTAAGGTGTACCAACAATTATCAACTAGACTATTGGACAACCCTTTTACCATTGGCAGAGTTTGCTTATAATAATACAATGCATTCTTCTATGCAACAAACACCTTTCTTTGTTAATTATGGTTATCATCCATGACTCAATACTTTTGATTTTTTAAAAGTTGATAATCTTGTGACGTGTCACGAACATTCTCATATAAGCTATTAATTATATATACAAATAGGTAGAAGTAAGTAAAAATAGGTAAAAGTAAGTTAATTCTATAGTATTTAATATGAAAGCTTCTTAGAAGCTTCATAGACGTTGCTTTGACTTCATAGGTGTCTTTAATTGACTTTTTGGATTAGAAACATGGTCAACAAGTTGGCCATATGCCACACATGTTGTTAGCTTGAAGATCAAGCTAACTATGTGGCCCACACGTAGAAAAACTTGCCTTGTAAGTCAAGGCATGTATCCTACAAAGTCAACACATATTGGAGATCCTATAGAACATCGCCACGTAGCCCCTAGTTAGATAGTATATATAGAGACAAGAGCGAAGCCTTCTTCACTCTTGTCAATTCCTTTCTTGCTTTCAGTCTAGTTTCAAGGGTCTCTAGTTTTCTTGTCTTTTAGCAATAGCCATTCTAGTTTCTCTTTCAATATACATACATATTTATTTATATTTTGTTAACTTTCTTTGAGTAAAGGCTCACTTGTCTGAATTGATTTTTCATCGATTTCTTGTCCTTGACACAATGAAAGATTTGGCAAATCATTTGTCAAAGCTACATGCAATAATGAAGGTACAATTAAAAGAAGCTCAAGAATGACAAAAGATCAACGCAGATATCTATCGGAAAGAACAACCACAATTCAACGTAGGTGACAAGGTATAGTTACTTTGTTGTAATATTAAGACTACTTGTCCTTATGATAAGTTAAACTACCATAGGCTTGGAGCTTTTCGTATTTGTGGACAAATCAATTCAGTTGCTTATCGATTACATCTATCGAAGTCAATGAAGATCCATCATGTATTCCACATGTCTCTTCTTAAACCTTACAAGATTGTGAATATACCAAGAAGAAGACAAGTCCCACCTCTTCGTATAGAAGAGGACAATTATGAAAAATTTGAAGTAGAAGAAGTTCTAGACTCAAGGCAACGCCAAAATAAGTTAGAATATCTTATCCATTGGTGTGTATATGACAATAGTGAACGCACATGGGAACCAACAAAGAATCTTACAAATGCAGCAAAGGCAATGGAGGTTTTTCATCGACAACATCCATCAAAACTAAGATGAAGAATAGTAAGTCTTTGCCAGAAAAGAAATAAGGTCCACCGAAGATTACATTCTACCTTCTATCTTTGTTTGTAGTTTTTATGTATTTGTAACACTAAAGAGATGGAGAATCAACAACCACTGGATTCGACTCAAGAGCCTTTGTTCACTGACCTACTAGACGAGATATTACGATTATCATAACCTTCAAGATGATACAATCAAGATGAAGATCCTCAAGAATGACATGTTTTTTCTTAAATAGATAGTAAGATACAACGCGTTTGGTATCACGACCTTAGAAGGGACTCTCGATGTTTGGTGATTTTACCAGAGATAGGAACAACTCCTAACGGTGTTCCAAATATTTTATTTGAAGGAAGTTATGAAGGCCTCAACAATGATCAAATAATTGGGTTGTCTTCTCGTCCTGGTATGGGACACTATCGATGGTTGAGAGGCCCTATAAATCATCTTCAAAGAGAACAAAGATCAGAATATGTGGCAAATACAATTTGCCCCATCTTAGACTTCCTCGACATATGATCACCGATCCTCGTGGAACTCGTCCCGAGAAGGGGGGATTATATCATGGACATATATTTATTGTAGTTGTTACTTAGGTGATATGAATAGATAGAAGTAGATAAAAATAGATTAATTTCATAATATCTTTTAGAGAAGCTTCTTAGAAGCTTTACAAATGCTACTTTGACTTTACATGTGTTTATACTTGATTGGTAGGTTAGAAATTTGGTCAACAAGTTAACCATGTACCACACATGTTGATAGCTTGCAGAATAAGCTAACTATGTGGTGTCCACATAGAAAACTTGCCTTGCAAGTTAAAATACATGTTATGCAAAGTCAACACATTTTTGGAGGTCCTATAGAATGTCACCACGTAGCTCCTAGGTAGATAGTATATATAGAGGCAAGAGTAAAGCCTTCTTCACTCTTGTCAACTCCTTTCTTACTTCTAATCTAGTTTCAAGGATCTCTAGTTTTCTTGTCTTTTGGCAATAGCGATTCCAATTTCTTTCTTAATATACATATTTAATTATTTCTATTTTTTCATCTTTCTTTGAAAAAAGTCTCACTTGTTTATTTATTTTTATCAAGTTTTTGTTGTTGACACCATTATACAATGTGAGAACTTACACAAAATATCATCCATTATCAAGAAACAATTTAGAAATACCATCGAGAGTAGAACAAAGATATTTTGCATTAATAAAAGAAGATTAATTGTAACCAAGTATAGATAAGATATTTGTATTATTGACGCATAGAGATAGATAGTTGGAACTATGTTTGAGAAGTTTCTAAAATTGAGAGTAGATTGGTAGTCTATGTGAAATCTATTATAGAATATTTTATAAAGGAATTAAGGCAGTTATTTAGGTAGGATCCACCATTATGAACATTCTAAAAAACTCTAAGATAGTTGAACAAAGTATAAATAGGATTGGCCAAGGCCATTTGGATATCCAATTAGGTATGGCTTCAATTTCTTTCTATTAGTAAAGTTTGATTTTACACTTTTTTGTTTAATTTTGTTCTATCTTCTTTTGCTCTATTTTGCCTTTTATGTTCCATTTTATTTAGTTCTGTTTAGTTTTGTTTTGATCTATGTTATTCTATATTGTAATGGAATTCATATTGCTTAGATTGGAAGGATTTTAGAACTTAGAGCTAATCTAGTCTTGTTTTAATTATATTGTATCTTTTATATATTGAGTCTAAAATTCTTAAAGCTTTAGTTGGATTGTTACACTCAACTATGTGATGAATTACAATATCCTTGATTAATATTATAATAATGGACATTACTTTATATTTATCTATTTCTTCTACAACTTGGTCTTCTCATTGTTTTTGATTGATGGTGATGACCTCTCCTAACATGGACTTTGTTTGGAACAATTGCCAAAGTCCTTTACATTGCATCATTGTTTGGATTTGTATCTTTCATATTACAAAGTTGGAAGAGCCTTCTAACTTGGTAGACTTTGACATGATAAAGTTATACATATATAATATTTATAAAATAAAAAATTATATATTTTTAAAATCTAAATATAATTAAATATATCCAAATACCATAAATCAAATTAAATAATTTTTATTCTATTTTTAATATATATATATATATATATATATATTATTTAGATAAATTTTATTTTTAACATTAAAAAATTTCTAATATAAATTATATTATATAAATTGAAGACTTTTATACATATTAATTATAGATATACATTAATAAGATAAAATATATTCTAGATTTTATTATAGCATGTTATAAAAATATATCTTTTCTAATTTTTCTTTACCAAAAATAATTGTAATATGATAATAATTATATTTATTTATTCAAAAAATTCCTTGATTCTTGAAAATATGATATATTTTGATAATATATATTATAATTATTTTCATAATATATATTATAATTATTTTCATAATATATATATATATATATATATATGTATATATGATTTATTTTATTTTAAAACTAATCTTTTTATCTTTTTATAAAACAATTCTTTACAAAAGGGGGCTCATGTAACCTCACAACGATGCCTCTAGTCTTATCTTGATTTTAGAATTAGAAACTGTAAAAAACTTTCCTACTGAACTAGATATATATATATTCCTACCAACAAAATCAATTGCTAATACAATCATTCTTTTCTTACTAATCAACAGTAACTTTCTTATAAAAAAAAACTATTAGTATCTTTCTGGTCCAACATCTAAAAATAAAGCTTGTTTCCAAACATACAAAGGATATTTTTAGGTGCTAAGCAAGAATGCTACGTCAGATCCCTCATTCACTCGCAGTTCAAGGCGAATCAAAAAGCCAGAATGAAGCTAAAGTCATGGCATAAAGTAAAAGCTGGAGATGACGACAGAGTTCACCGCATCTGATGAATAGGAAATGGAAACCACTGCGACTCCTCGAGGCAGAGCCTCCGCGCATTCTTCTAATCGGCCTTCGTTAGTTCTCCGTGGCCATCGTGCCCACGGATTGTCGCAATTGTATTCGCAATCAGTCCAATCCCCTCATCTCACCGATCCCACTACTTACTTCTTCTCGCACTGATTTTACACTCTTGTGCATTCTGGTTTTACCTCAATCTGTGTTATCGTTGAAGCTCGTGAGGTTTGGGTTGAAGCCTGCGTGCGGTGTAGTACGTCTCGTTGATTAATTTCTGGAGTTTTTGGAGTTGGGTTTCCTGTTTAGAGCGACATGGGTGGGAAATTCTGATGTTGGTTGATAAGATGGAGTATCAGGGGCAGCAAGGGGGTGGAGAAGTCCGGTTCAACACCTCCCACGAATTGCTCCCCAGCACTGCCGTGGCGAATGATAAGATGCTGCAGCACTACCAACAGCAGTTTGGGCAGCAGCAGTTCGATGCCAGGAGCGATGTCAGACTCCCGAATCAAAAGTTTCAGTCAAATCCGAGCTCGTGTGGGGGCGTGGGCAGTGGGGATGGTATGCTGAAGGCTCCAGCGAGGGCACCCGCGGATCCCTCCTATCCGACTGCAGCCCTATATCCAATAATCGCTTTTCTTTGAAATTTGCATTCGGAAGTTAGTGTTGGTGATGTCCTAATTTGCGCGGGGTTTTAGCCGCCATATGTGCTCTATTTACGTGTTTGCGAAACCTTGGGATAGCGGAAGCAGATCCTGGGTCATTTAAGATTCTCGTGGTCAACGAGAAACTAAGTCTCTAGAATTCTGGAAGATTTGTTTTGTGGATGCCAGTAGAGTTTTTTGAACTTTTGTTGCTGGATGGGTACAGGCTGCGCAGCAACATCTTCCAATTCCGTCGTTTGTGGAGAGAGCATTTCCTCAAGAAGAAAGAGGAATTGTCGAAGCTGCAACTGTAGCTGCAGTGGAGCAGACCATGAAGTAGTACGTCCACGATTTGATGCGGGTGATGGAGTCAATGACTGGGCGCATTGGTCAGCTGGAGTCTTCGACTTGGCGTTTGGAGCAGAAGGTATTGGAATTAAAAGGCGGATCTGAAAAGAGTCGAGAGATTTCAGGGGACAAGATTCTGTTCGTCGAGACTATGCTCTCTGAGGTGTATTTAGAATAACACTTTGCAAATTTTCAATTCAGATTGTACAGCCCAAATAGCTCGAAGGAGAACAATTGGGATCATTAGTGCTTACTCTCGAGTGTGGGTGGTCATTTTTCGTAGGTACAACGTGGTGTGCAGGGTCTTCGCAATAAACAGGAGGTTATGGAAGCTCCATCTAATATAGAATAGCGTCAATTTGGCGGGGAGGGGATTTCTTTGTCTTCAGGCCACAGCCATATGCCTTTACAGCCACCACCGGCACAGTCTCCGAGAGCATCACAGCTACCTGAGACGCCATCCTATCAAATGGGTCAACTCTCTCATCCGCCACACCACTCTCACCACCTACCGGGCCATCCTCCACCCCCATACATGGTGCCAGCACAGATGATAGGTCTTCCTTCTTCACCACCACCACCTCCTCCTGCTGTTGAGCCTCATTACTAGACTTCTCAACAGCGTCCCCCTTCCCCTCAGCAATCCTACTACGGTTCATTCCCTCATCCTCCTGCTGAGCTTCCATCATATGGTGCAACGATACCAGGTCCATTCAAGGGACAATCTGGGGGCTTTGGTCAGGAGGTTCCACCACCACCTTATGGTAGCCAGTCGCACCAGTCGCCTCTGGGTGTACCTGATGGGTCACAAATGTATAATGATCAGTCGGCTGTTATGCCTCCTTTACAATTTCAAGGTCGCCCTGGAGTTCTCGCTTATGAGCAGTTGATGGGGCCATCGCCTGGCTACTCCAATCTGGAGTATGGAATTGGACAGCAAACCCCGTCAGCTCCAAGCAGCGGAGCGGGAGGCTATCGTAGGTTGCCTACTGCTCAGCCTGTAAACCATGCCATGCAACAGCGAGAAAGCGGGAAGGAGCGCCAACGCCCTCTGGTGCTACTCCTGTGCCCACGAACCGGATGTCCATTGATGAAGTTATTGACAGGGCTGCATTGATGGGATTCTCTAAGGACCAAGTGTGGGCTGTTGCGCGGGAATTCTCAGAGAATTCTCAGGCTGTAGATTTCAACATTGTGCTCGACAAGTTGGTGAATGGGGAAAGCTGCAGCGCAGCCTCCCAAAGGTTGGTTTCAAAGGGGTTGAAATTCGGAGCCGCTCTTCGGACACTGCTCGTTTGTTTCCAATTAGTTCATTGTAAGGACAACTAGTGGACCAGTTGCAGTGGGCTTGTAGCATGAGACCTCGGTTTTGTTGTGGCTATTTAAGTTTATATTTGGTGTATATGTGTACATACGTAAGAGATACTAGATGCTCCTGTCTTACATGCCTTGGTTAAACCATTCTTCGCCTGGTTGATTGGTTGCTTTTCCAAGCTATCGTACATAGTTCTCTGAAAACTGCTGGTTCTCATTTTGTTTTTCACACCAAGGAAATCCTGCAGCTTCTAGTCTTTTGATTGGATCGTATTAGTAGCCATCAAGGAAACCATATGCCTTGCATCAATTCTGTGAATCAGAAATATTCTTCATGGACATTGTTCTTGACTCACTGGATTTTCTTATTCATGTTTTTGAGGATTGAGTCATGGCCTGGGTTGTAAAAATGTCATCGTCAATGGCCAGGTTAACCACATCTGTCGAGAAGTTTGTAGTTGTAAAGATGCCATTGCGTGTTGTATTGTATCCTGATTTATTGGTACTCATGCATCTAGCTTTTCATACATTTATGATTTTGTCCAATATTGTGCGCTGCTCATGATCAAGAGTGCCTGAAATTTTGGTGTCTGGAAGAGTTTCATTCAGCAGATCCATTGCCTCTCATTCGGTCTCCGATCCAACAAAAAATGAATCAAAATTCCGTTAGTCGTGTTAGGACCCTGACAGCCCCATAAACGATTTATTCTTCTGATTCGGCACTTTATCCGGTCTTTCCACACTTGCATGTGCATTGTGCACCTTCGCCATGTGTAACCATGAGGACAGATGGCAGGTATCGAAGCATTTAGCTGGAAAGTTTATGTACTTATCCCACATAGTACTCATCTGCTCGTCTGCTTATATTCAAACCCTGGGAATGTGCACTTCCTCAGGGGAGGAAACTGAATTTCTCTGATTCCTGCGACACTCGTGGATACTCCGACTTTGATCAATCTTGACGCATTTGATTTGCTTGCTTTGTGCGTTCAGAATTGACTGAGTCAAGGTGATTTCACAGACAGAAATTAGAGCTCACAAGTCGTGTCTATATTGGAACTTAGTCGTCACGTATTTCGTCCCGCGCCGTGAAACAAAGAACATCTTTGGTTAATCTCGTCACTACATGCGTTGCAACTGTTGCCATCGTGTTAATGCTCTCTGAAATTTTGGAGGACCGTCCAGAGTATTCATTGCACCCACAAACGTATTTCATATGCAAGTTCCCATTACAAGATACCTTTAGCTCATAACTTGGCATTGTTGTACGTACAGTCTGGGTTTCCCAGTTGAGATATAGGAGAGTTCAATTTTAGCTTGATTCTGCCCTGTTTGTTTGCTCAGCAATCCAGATTTGAGGTCAGATTGACAGGTTGGAGAGGCAACAGCTATCTGTGAGGGTTCCTGTATGTCTCTTCCAACCATTCTGATCACAGGGTCCGCTATCGACAGCGTTGCTTTGGCCAGGAAGACCTCATCTAGCGTACTGAGGGGCGACTTCAGTTACCCGTGCGGTCAGTTTTTGTTCCGAAATAGAGCTGGCTTCGGCCTTGATCGCTGCATCTCTGCGCATGTGATAAATTGTAGTCAAGCTCCTGGTATCACAAATAAAGAGAACGATTGCGTTAGGGCAGCAGCGCAGAATTCGACACAACCCTCAGGTTTGGGCTCGAAGCTAACTCAGCCGACGTGGGTTTCCGTAGAACTATCGACATTCTTGGTTATTTACAACATGATTGCTTTGATAACTGAGCAGAAGGAGGCTTGAACGGCCCAATGGCAAAAGACAGAAAAGTCCCAGAAGTGAGGCGACGTGATTGGGAGGATCCTATGACAGTGGAGTGGAACAAGCGCAATGCTCACGTACCTCTGCATTGTCACACAACCATCGTAGGTAATGTGCACCGAAAAACTCTCATCTTAAAATTTTGGATGGCTATAGCAATGTGCAAGTTGGATCTGCGGGTGAATAAATGTCGGCTAGACACGTTTTCTGTGATTCTGCTCTGAGATCTGCAAAGGTGATTTGGGCAGGTGCTTTGAAATTCTGGCAGCAGCGCAGCCACACAGACTTCAGAGCTGCGGAGGAGGCTGTTTGGGAGGAGGAGGCCGTGGAAGCAGCTTTGCAAAGCGCTGATTCATGGATTCAAGGATTGGAGTATGTGTGCTCATTGGCGGGGCTTTGGAAATTTCATCTCGCATGTTGCCCTGAAGAAGTTCCAGAGCAGTTTTCTTCTGTAGGGTTTGATGACAGCAGCTGGGGCTCGCTACCAGGTGTGAAGATTGGTTATGTAAAACTGTTTGTACTTGTTAACTGTGTTTCTGAGGATTTAGTTTAGATTGATTAATCTCAGCGAGTCACTCTCAATTGGCTTAAAATGAGATTGATGTCACCATTCTGTGCAAAGATCGACAGAAATGGAAATAGAATTCATGAATTTATTGCATATGCCTCACATTCTTCATCGTCAATTGTTTGTGCAGTTCCATCGAACTGGCAGGTGCATGGTCACGATCGCCCTATTTATACTAATATCGTGTACCCTTTTCCCATAAACCCTCCCTTTGTACCCTCTGAGAATCCTACTGGCTGCTACCGGACATCTTTCCGGGTTCCTTCAGATTGGACTGGTAAGGTCTCTAATCTTGATCCTTGACAGCAGTGCTTCTTAATCTACAGTGCTCTACTTACCACGTTGCATATCTCGTGGTTGTTGATTATCAAATGGTTTCATATGGGAGGAAGTTGCATAGTATTGCTTTTTGAGTTATTACAGACGTATCAGGAAGATTGGATTCCTAAGAATACGTATCGATTTGCAGGCCGGAGATTGTTTTTGAATTTTGAAGCTGTTGACTCTGCTTTCTATGTATGGGTCAATGGCGCAAAAATCGGCTACAGGTGAGTCATGAATTACACTACATTGGACCTTGTATTTTTTGAGGTTATTTATCAGCATTTCTAAACTACCGACCCCCAAGCATCCACATTCATGCAATAATGAAATAAGAGAGCTCTGTTTTTTTGACATTTTCAGACCTACTTTGTTTATCTATAGCTTTTGTTCTTCCACTGAAATACTTCTGTGAGTTCTCCAGTCAGGACAGCCGACTGCCATCCGACTGGGACATTACCGACTGCTGCCACTTTGGTGAGGAGAACGTACTCGCAGTGCAGGTTATGAGGTGGAGTGACGGGTCGTACTTGGAGGACCAAGACCACTGGTGGCTCTCCGGAATCCACCGGAATGTATTGATATACTCAAAGCCGCAGGTGTGAGTCAGTTTATGTAACATTTCAGTGGAAAAGTTGAGACCACCATGGTCGTCACATGGGAAGCATAAATTATCTGAGTACGTATAGGAGCGGATTTGAATTTCAGCATAACATGAACGAACAAGCTGAATAAGGTGATTCTTCTTGTCATGGGTTGCAGGTTATGCTAGCAGATTATTTCGTAAAAACAGATGTTGAAAATGACTTTCTGTCAGCAACTGTCAAGGTTAGTACAAAAATGATTCGCCATCCATCTCCAAATGTTGTAGTTTTCAATCAATATCACCGTATGCTTTGTTTCATGGATGCTTGTATGTTGGAAAACTTTCTCTAAAAGCTGAAAAGACTGCTACAGGTCGAGGTTACTGTGGAAGGACCTAGGGAAATGATAGCAAATAGCAAGTTATGCCATTATACCACCGAGGCTGTTCTTTTCGAAGAATTTGATTTTCAAGGGGATTTTAAAATGCCGTCAGAGGCAGCTCACCTGCAGCCTCAAGGGCTGGATTCTGCGATGATTGGCTGTCATGCGCACACCATCCTTACAGCTAAATTACAAGGCCCAAAGCTCTGGTCTGCTGAGCATGTAACGTTCTCAATCACCTGATTGCTTTATCCTAGTTCCCTGGTACTAGATTATTATGACGATTTATTACTTCGTTTCAATCTAAACCTGCTTGTCACTTCTTTCAAGTTCACATGCTTCTACACTCACTGTTAGTTTTCATTCATGCTGAATTTATGCATAGCAAGCCAGAAAAGCTTTGTGATTGATTGTGATTGTTAGACTGCTATTGACTCTTGTCGGCAGGTTTGTCTGTAACTTGTTACCATTGTGCAACCTCTCTCAGCTTCGACTTACACTCATTTGTACTCTATCTTTCTTGGGGTTACTCAAAAGGTAGTAAGCGGACATTTTGTGATGAATTGAAGCATGTGTATTAACTCCCTCGTTGCTCGTTCTTGACAGCCAAACCTCTACACACTTGTTGTACTGCTTAAGGATCCATCTGGTGCAGTCATAGACTGTGAAGCGTGTAGAGTGGGTGTTCGAAAAATTTCTACACGGCCCAAGGAGCTGCTTGTCAATGGAGAGCCAGTGGTTATCCGTGGTGTCAATCGCCATGAGCACCATCCTCGTCTTGGGAAAACAAACATTGAAGCGTGTATGATTAAGGTCTGTACCCTCAAAGCTAGACCGTGTGACACTGTACTTTTTCATATCTATCTCAATAGATTTTTCCGGCTCTGATACAATCTATGAACTTTACTGTGCAGGATATCACGTTAATGAAGCAGCACAATATAAATGCAGTGCGAAACAGCCATTATCCCATGCACTCTCGCTGGTACGAGTTGTGTGATCTCTTCGGGCTTTATATGGTAGACGAAGCCAATTTGGAAACCCATGGGTTTGATCCTGAGCCTTGGGCGTGGCCGGAGCGCCAACTGACCTTTGATCCCAAATGGGCAAATGCATTTCTTCAGCGGATGATCAACATGGTCGAGCGGGACAAAAACCATGCCAGTATCATATTCTGGTCTCTTGGCAATGAAGCTGGGTATGGACCTAATCACCAGGCTATGGCAGGTAAGAACGAACCTAGTCTACTTTTGTTGATCCACTGATGCATTCTTGGCGATGTTGATTGTTATCGATGCTACGATGAAGATATTTGCTAACTGGGGTGTTCAATGCTTGTATATTACTGTTAGGTATGCCTCAAGAATTGCGTAGGAGAATTCTATCAACAGAAAATGTTTTGAAGTGTTCCAGCATTTTCGAAATATCGTCCTTTTAATTCATAATTGATGAGTGATATCTATTGGTCAGGGTGGACAAGAGGCAGGGACTCAACTCGGCTCTTGCATTATGAGGGTGGTGGGTCTCGTACAACATCAACAGACGTGGTCTGCCCTATGTACACCAGAGTTTGGGATATCATAAAAATTGCAGAAGACCCCAGTGAATCACGTCCAGTTATACTCTGCGAGTAAGATTTTTTTAATTTTTTTAATTTTTTTAATTTTTTTAAATAAATAAATAAATATTTATTTATTTATTTATTTTACGTACATGATTTTTGACTCGACCAATGAACTACTCTTGGAAAATATGCTTTTCTCAACATTGTAAAGCTGCGAGTGTCTGAGACCAATTCCTAGAAGACACTGTTTCAGTTAGAGATAGAAGAGGGTGTTAGGACTTAATTTAAACCGCACATTCTGATTGTTGCCATGGTTGGTACCTACAGGTATTCTCATGCCATGGGTAACAGCAATGGAAATATTCAGGCTTATTGGGACGCTATTGATGGGATACACGGTTTACAGGGAGGATTCATCTGGGACTGGGCTGATCAGGTGCGGTTTTGAACAAATCTCATCATCATCATCAATATTGTCTTAGTATAGCATAACCGATACATCTGACGTCTAGTTACTTGAGTTTCTAAGTAGGTCTTCTCTGCTTACCATTGAGCTGGCTTCTGTCTGTAGTACTGCGTGTGAGTGTGTTGTGATTTTTCCTGATATTTTTGCTATGGTACTCAGGGACTTTTAAAAGAAGGAAAAGATGGAGTGAAGTACTGGGCGTATGGAGGGGACTTTGGAGACGTTCCACATGATTTAAATTTCTGTCTGAATGGACTGATTTGGCCCAACCGTCGTCCCCATCCTGCTCTCGAAGGTATTCCAGAAGGCTCTAATCCACCCAATGGGCTTGGTTTTCAACAGAGAAACTGTAACTCCACGAGATTATGGAGATAATCAAGGTTTTCCTAAATTGTTTTTTTCGTACGTCATTTTCTTTTCTGCTCGGTAACATTTTTTTTCTTTTTTCTTTTTCCTTTTTGCAGAAGTTAAACATGCATATCAGCCAATTGGAATATTTTTGAAAGATGGCACTATCGAGGTAAACTTGACATTAAGACACTGTCCTCTCTTACATGTTTTCAAATGCAGTCGTGGAGCGTGTGATGGCCCCCATCCCCTATCTTTCTTTTCTGAGTATTGTTGTCTGAATCTAGGACTATGACCACGTACAATTAACTCAATTAGTATTCATCGATCCTAAACGTCCGTTATGGACCTTGCTGACTGATCGCTTTGTTTTTATCCTTTATGACGTATCGTCAAGGCAAAAGATTACCTCTTTCGCCGTTCGTAAGGGAGGTCTCTTTGTGCTTTTAGATGGCAAAAATGCTCGATACTTCTGCTTTTGCAGCAACTACTATTTTCTCTAACTAATTATTACTTGGCTCAACTTTGGTGCAGATATGGAACAAACATTTCTTTACACCTCTTGACTACGTGAAATTCTCGTGGTCCCTCTCCGCCGATGGTTCAGTGTTGGAGTCGGGGACCTTGGATTTGCCTGCAATTGAGCCAACCAAAAAGCACTACTTAAAGTTGAACTCTGGACCATGGGCTTCACGGTGGAAAGAAGCAGAAGCCAACGAAATATTTCTGGATATTACTGCCTACCTTTCTGCGCCTACAAGGTGGGCTGATGCAGGACATGTATTGGCTTCCGAGCAAATGGAGTTACCAGTTTCCAAGCATGCACAACGACAGGTATTCATTTTCTTTTTAGTACTTTTATGGCATACAAGGGTTAATTTGTGTAAATGTGTAACCTCGATCCAGGTCAAATGACAACTAAAATAATTACAAAATAATAAGAATTGATATTTGAGTGTCTTAGTCTCCTCGCATATGGCGCCCATGCAATCAGGGAAAGTTCCTATTCTACAGTTCTTGTGAAATGTGATTTGGCGTAGGGAGCCAACATGAAAGATTTTTATCAGCGCTATGTCATTATTCATTCCACAAACTAGTGGTTTAGTGTGTTCAATGTGATCTACCGCAAGTAATACTAGTACTTATATCTCGGTTACATTTTTTTCCGTCAATTATCCTTTGGTTTTACAATTGCAGATTTACATTCTGTTTTTTGCTTGGAACGTGCAACAGGTTCTTAGCGCGTCGAGTAAGCCAGCTCTGTCAGTAGAGGAAGCAGAATGGGTGCTTAAGGTAAAACCAGCTGGAGGTGAAGATTGGGAAATACAGTTTGATAAGAAGAAAGGTCTTCTGAGCTCTTGGAAGGCAAGTATTATACAAGCCTACTTCAATTTCCGTTATGTGGGTAAGAATGAGGGCCATTTACCAGTATCGTAATGAACTTGAAGTGTTGACGCCTGACATTCTGGGGTATTGTCTACAGGTGAACGGCACTTGTGTTCTCTCGAATGGTCCACTCCCTTGCTTTTGGAGGGCACCAACGGACAATGATAAGGGAGGCTCAGTGTTGAGCTATGTATCACAATGGAAGGCTAACGGGCTGGACACGTTGACATGCACAGGCTGCGAAAGATTCCGGGTGGAGAAACTCTCTGATAGTACTCTCCTGCTGAAGGCAGTCATTTTCATGGAACCTAAATCAGAGGAGCCCCCTCCTCCACAAGTTTCTGAGTCTCAAACTGGAGATGTTGACAAGGACACTGAAAAATCAATCAAGGCCCAATTTGCTGAGATGAATGAAGAAAGGGCTCGAAGGGATAGCTCGCTTGGCTTTAAAATCAAGGTGCAGTACATAGTTTTCGGTGATGGCAACATAGTCACGAGCTACGATGTTGAGCCTCCTTCCCGGATTCCAACCTTGCCAAGGGTTGGAGTCCAATTCAACATTGACAAAGAATGTAGTGAAGTGGAATGGTATGGGCGCGGTCCATTCGAGTGCTACCCCGATAGAAAATCAGCAGCACGAGTTGGCACTTACAGCAAAGAGGTGAAGGATCTCCACGTTCCGTATATTGTGCCGGGTGAGAATGGAGGGCGTGCTGATGTTCGCTGGGTGGCCTTCACGAGCAAGACGAAAGGTGTTGGGCTTCTTGCAATCAGCGGTGAAGACAGTCCACCAATGCAGATGAGTGCTAGCTTCTACACAAGCCAAGAGCTTGACCGAGCTACACATGAGGAGGAGCTCCAACAAGGGGATAAAATTGAGGTATGCATTTTATTTATTTGTTTGTTTGTTTGTTTTCTCTCGAGTGCACTTTTGATCTCTGTCTATCGTCCATTACTATTCAAATTCGCGAACATCCTGTATGCTTGAAACTATGCTTTAATCAAGCTTCTCCGTAGTCTGCTTCCGTTGTCCTACGAACTTCTCGACTACTTTCGTAATATGTAAAGAATGTCTTAATAACTTTTCTAACCTGTTTTGCAGGTTCATCTGGATCACAAGCACATGGGCATCGGCGGTGACGACAGCTGGACACCATGTGTGCACCCCCAGTACCTTTTGCCTCCAGAATTATACCATTTCTCTATCCGTTTCTGCCCTCTCATAGGTCCAACTTCTCCACTCGAAATCTCTAGAAACCAGCTTGAGAATGTATCATAAGTGCAATTATATCGCAGCCCCCACTCCTCGATATCTGATAGATTGTTGTAATTCGAATCTTCCTCAAAGGAGGACTGGGTTCTGTTCGAAGATTCCGTGGAGGATTTCATTATCAAGCTTGATTCACGAAGTTAATGCTAGTTAGTGTCTCATGCCTTCCTTCTGCCTCTAATGCTTCTCACAATCCACTTTTCCAAGCTGCTTATTTCTACTGCAGTAACCTCTTCGTCCATAATATGCACTGAGTTCTTACTGAACAGACCTCGACGTCACCGTTCCATTTCAGTCACACCACCTTTTTGGAGCTTCACAAGGTGTACATTCTTTCAGTAATAGTGAAAATTTCGAGATGTTGATGAACTCCACTGTTGTAAAGAGAAACGCTAATGGAATGTGAAATGCTTTTCTGAGTCTCGATTCTCCAGGCCGAGTTCTTGCAATGATGGAAGTGGTTACATTGATCTCTGTTACGCTGACTATCAGCCAACTGTCCATCAACTGTTTTACTACTTACGTATTAGTGTCTGTATCGACATACAGACAGATAGACAGGTGGATCGGTAGTTGTTGAGCGCGCACACAAGTTACTGTAAAGCTCGCTAAACTAAAGTAGAATGTGACACCTTGATACGTTTGAATGCGAAGGCTATAGATCTTCACTCACCAGCTCCAATACCCATACTTTTCAGTCAAGGCGTATACCAAGCTTGTGAAACATACAATCGCATCCACGATGACCCCTCCCAGTGACGCCGTCTACCGCTCGTGGAGCCCCCGATCAATGGCTTTTCAATCCCCTGATCTATGCACTCACCTTCACAAATGCCACGCTGCAAAGTTACGCGGTAAGCTCCGATCGTGGAGATAGCATCGTCTGTACGCTCACTGTGTGCTTTATCCCTGCTCTTCACATCTCATTGAGACTCCTCAGTGGGATCGCTAGTACCCGAGAATATCAGAGCCGTGTCCTCGTTGCGGACAACTGGGTATTAGCGCTTTGGTGTTAGCTCAGTTAGTCAAAGATGTGTGCGTTGAATTCCACAATGTCTCCACTGTAAATTCGCAGATCTTGTCAGCTGTTTCACTCATTCTGGTTATGCCGAAGGAGTTTCGCCTCGGCTGGGTCGGAGAAATTCCAGGACCCAGGTGCTCAGTGCGAGTGTTGGATGGCATATCCAGGCGGGGGTTTCTACAGTTCTGCGCCTTGTGTGCGACATGTTGGCGAAACGTGAGCAAGATGGTGATGGAATAGTGTCGGTAAGTATCCCAAGTTTTCCAGCTGAGGTTTCTGTGCTTCCCTGGATCGTGATTTGCTACAGGATAATCCTAGTTGAGACAACTTGATTTTCAGTTGGCTGTGTTCAATCTACTTTGATGTAGGAGCAAAATCGATGTTACGAAGCTTCTCATAAGAAACTGTGGAGGTTGAAGGTCTTCGAGCGTTACCTCATTTAATGCCTCTGTTTACGGCCCTGGCTGCCCTGTTTGTGAATCAATTAATCCTACTCGAGCAGCACTCTTTGATTGTATTTCCGCCATTTCAGCAATTGCAAAGACGGGGAGGAAGCGAGGACTTGGCATAGAAACGGATTGGTTGGTCGAGTAGCGATTGTTTAATCTAAAAACAGTTAACTATGGAGCCCAAATCAATCCATGTATGTTAGCATAATCTGCATTGCAAGAGTTGTTGCACCAGTGGCGTGGAAATGCTCGAGCTTGAAGAGCTGGGCTTCATGTGGATCCAGCAAAGGAATTCTAAACGTAGCCGAATTAGTTTCAGTGTGGTTTCAGTTTTGCACAGGGAACGGGAAGAAATTTAGGTCGACCCAACCTAGATCCTGTGCTTACCACGATCAACCGGCAGGTTGATGATCTGTCTCGGCTATTTCCTTGGCTTTGACTGTACGTAGAAACATTTTGAATCAGTCATTTGGGGCATTTGGATCGGCTGAATTTACACTCGCTGCCGGTTATCTCCTTTGCTTGGTTTTAAAACGAGTGCGATGGGGAACAATGATGCCGTTTTGAGAATAAGGGTTCTTAGGGTTGAACTGTAATTGTAAATTGGCAGGTCGAATGTTTCTGAGCAAGCTGAAATAAGCAATGGTGAGGAGATCATAGAGAGAGGGCGGATGTGGAGGCGAACGTTTGGGGTCATTGTCAAAAGAGATGCGATAGCCCTACCATTCCTTATGAAGCTCAAGGGTAAAAGCTGCTACATATAATTTCTGCTCTTGTCTGGGCATAATAGGACGATCGATCAGTACATAAACATGAAGCGCCAGAAACTATTCTCTTCTGCCGAAGTTTTCTCAAGTTCAAAGAACAAGATCTTGTGTTTTACCTGAAACTATACTAGACTTGCCTTTACTGGTATCAATTACAACACGGAGTACGTGGTTCTCACAAAAAAAATACTGCAATTGTAAGAGCTCTTGATGACCCAACTGTCACCATTGACGAAGTGACTCTAGCGGTCTCGCTTTCTAACCTAACCTAACCCTAGGCCAATGTTAACCTAACTCTCAACCAGAGTTTCTTCACGGATCGATAGGGTACTAACAGCTTTGCTTCTCTTCAGTAATGTTTTGTATTGTTCATTTCTTATCATGAAATAGTCGTCAATATGTGTAGTTAGTAATCTTAAGAGGAGACGGGGAATTTTCGCAACTAGGACTGTACTCTGGAGCTCTTTTGAATGCAACACCTACTCAGCTGCCAACATCTTCGACGTCTCATTGCACCCTCAAATGAGCATGACGAGGTCCGTGGAGGTGCTCTCCCCTAACTTCCCAGTTGTACTTCTCCAGTTGCAATCCGTCATGTCATACCAGATCCATATTTGGCTGCGTGCGTCTTGACCCTGCTTTTAGATCCAGGGACTCCTTGTGCACATCCCACAAGGATATGGATCGGGATTTAAATGGGATGAGTAAAGCTACATAGTTACAAACTATCAACGGTTGATTACCTTCTCCTACATCCGTTGGCCTTGAAACTGCTGTAAATAAGCTCTGAATTCTATCTTTCTTCAGTTAGGGCAAAATTGTATGTTGCTTATTTCTTTAGGTCTTGCCAATTTTAATGCCCTTGAGGTTTAGTGGCTTTCTCTGGTGGTGGTGTTCAGGCAGGTTAAATACCAGAAGGTATTCGTGATAAAGCTAGTTAGCTCGGAACAAGACAAAAACTTCGCAATAATGGATGTGCGTTTCCTCTCTTAAATTTTCTGGAATGATCGTACTAAAATTCTTAGTATGCGTACTACATATATTTTGGAATTTATAGGAAATTTATGTTTTGTCTGCCATTGATGTCGCTAGGTTGTGTGGATGCTTTAATGGAGCTTTCTCCGTCCTGTTATAATTTGGTCCAATCTGCTGAGATGAGAGTTGGGCAGAGATGTGTCGCATACCATGTGGTCGACTACACTCTGAAAGCTGGCGTTATGAGTGGACTGGACCGCGACATTTACATTGACTGGTGTAGTTATCGAGGGTGGCAATCCAAACATTGCCAAAAAGAAATTGATCATGCAAATTATTTTCCAAGGACTTCAAACAGTTGTTTTCTGTGAGATTTTTTACTCATGATTTGTGAGACTGCGTGTGATCATGCAGTGGAGGTGTTTTCCCTTGAACTCGAAAGGAATCATCATCAGCATTAACACCGCAATCTTCACGCACACATAGGTGTCACTTGTTTCTTCTTTGTGAAAGAACCCATTTTGCTTCATTGTTTAATGCTGTTATCTGACCACCTACGAGAGAGTGAGGATGCTAACAGTGAGCGTTTCCCTCCTTTCTTTTATTCCATGGAATTGTATGGGCTTATCAACAGGAATTGGATTTCTGCCATTCCATTCGCGGTAGTCACCAAACTCGTCCTACACCTGCAGGGCTCATATAAGAACGCTCCAAAGCTGTGCGACTTTTTCCACGTTTTCCAGTTCGTTTCTAAGAAACCACCCACCATAGACAACAGATCTTACCTCCCAGGTCACGCAACCAGATCATGCACCTGAGAGGTCATGCACAGCAGTGGCTCTAGCGTTGACAGTGGCAAGCTCCTGGACCGGTCCATTTCCTCCAGTTGGGTTTGTTGCAACAATCCACGAAGAATAGGATAACGCATTACTGGTTTTACTGTTCTTGCAGGTTCTAAGCACAATCTAGAGACATCAACAAAACCAGGAGAGGATATAACAACTGGAGTGGACTATCTTAGAGTATTCAAGCTTTGCTTTTCGACGTGCTGCTTCGTCTTCATCGTCTTCATGGTCATCGTCTCCATTGTAGGATCAGATTCCTTCAGCGACGCTGGCTGGGTTTCCCAGTTAGATTCGGCTGGTTCTGATGTTGTTGGATGTGTGAGATTCGGGACATGGGTTCCACGTTTCGATGGGCCGAGGTGGGCTCATCACCCCTCTTGCGAAAGTCCAAGTAGCCCACTTGTCTCATGTTCAAAGCTTTCACTTGTTGAGCCTTTCTCTGCTTTTCTTTCCTTACACTCATACATGTATTGTATTATATTATTTATATGTATATATACATACACATACAATAGCTCCTGGTCTTTCTTATCAGTAGCTGGACTTTGGACCTTAACTTGGAGCGGTTGTCGCACTGGCGGCCACTTGATGATAGCCTCCAAAAGAAGAAAATAAAAGCCCGTTTTTGGTGTTTCCAGCATGTGCTAGGCTTTGACCTGATCATAACCCAATTGCTCACAATGTACAAATATACATGTATACATATCAAATAATACTTGTTTGGTTGCCATTGTTGAGTCTGAATGCATTGATGGCGAATAGTAGCTTTTGTTCATTTTTTCTGTTTTTTACTTTGTTTTTAGATGTGTGTGTGAGTATAGATATATATATATATATATATATTCATAAGAGTGTGCTTGTGGAAATTTGCGACATCTCGGTCAGTCAGAAAAGAGAAGTGACTTTCTTTGTGCACATTTGCAGGCAGTAGAAGTTCACCTGGCCACGAATGAACGACAACCAAATTTCATTCATTCTCCCATAATTCATTCAAAACGGGGATGAGTTCGTTTGTTCAGAGATATCTAGCTTTCTGAGCCAGGTGAGGATCCTTTTTCATTTCTTTTTCTTCATTTATTAATTTGGAACTTTAGCTTTTTAACTATTTCAACGCAAATTTGTTCTATAATTTTAACCTTTTAATTTTTAATTTTAATTTTGACAAAGCCACCTTGATGGTGCATAGAAAGGTTTAAAACAAAAAATAATAATAATAATAATAATCACTCTAGGGAATTGTTTATTTTTCTTCATAATAACTAGATATAATGTTAGTTTTCCACTTTCTAAACCCTCCCCCCTTCCCCCTTCTCCCTCCTCCTTCTACACCTTTTCATTTCAAAAGAAATTTAATTTTTTTCTTTATCTTTCTCTTTCTTTCTTTTTCTTTTACTATAATCCACGGTATCATTCCGTCCATTATTGAGGTCATATTCAGTCCACTACATACCATCCACCTTTGCCCTTTCCCACGCCCAATTATGCCAGTCAAAAACCAACCATTGAACCGAACCAAAAACACCAAGTAACACTAAATAAATAAACCAAAAACAATTATCTTAAACTAATCAATCACCCAACCTTTCGCTTTTTCTTTTTTTTTCTTTTTTTTCCTCCTTTTCTGGACAGCCTCCAAACCCCCCATTCGTGGACGGGGCAGTTTCCGTGAGACTTACACAGCACGCACATGGTTAGTGAGCCCGTGGCCCTTTAAAAGGATGAATGTATGTTGGATAAATGTGTGGATATGGGTTTCATCCAAAGGGACAAAGGCAAGGCAAGGCACGGGTACTGAAAGAGAGTATGGAAAGCAGTGCCCCCCCCCTTTTGATTATTACCATGCAAAGTCATGACCTCCCCTCGTACTGCCCCACTTCCGTTCATCCACTCAAATGTACGTCGTTCGTTAGTTCGCAATTCCGTTCGTTCGTCCCGTCTGTACATCCGATAGATTTCATCCCTGACGTGGGTCTGTCACTTACGGCTTGCGTACTTCGTTCCCAATACAATATTTGTTTATTATTTAATATTATTTATTTGACTGTGTGCACAAACTGTATGACTTCAAATGCTACCCACTTCTGTTACCTTTTCATGGGTCCCTTGCTGTTACTTTAAATTGGCTTTAACACTGTAATAGCTCTATTTGTTTGAAAAATGGGTGTGCATAAGAATGTGAAAAATAAATGAAAGTATAGAATTGTGAATCTTAGTGAAGAAAATGGTTTTGCATACATGGCCTTCAGTATATCTTTACTTGTGCCACTTCCATAGCTAGATGCTTATTGTTCTAGCTTGTAATAACTATCTACACAAGCCAGTAAAAGAAATCTTCTTTACAAAATTACACAAAATGTCTATCTATTTTGGTGTTATATTTATTAAAACAACTTTACAATATTTTCTGACCTATTTTCTGTAGAAACCATTATAAATAATGAAGATTGAATAAATAATCATAAACAGTTTTCAAAAGAAAGAACAAATTAAATTCTCTTGTAGAATTTTTTTATCCAATATTTTCATTTGATAATAAGTAAAAAAAAAAGTAAAAAAAAAAGTACTTTTGTTGAGAATGTTTGGAGAGACACAAGAGTAGTTGGAAGTAATGTGCACACACACAAACACAGACACATACAAGAGAAGTGTATAGAAGGAGAGAGAGCTTCTTATTTGAGTATTAATGTGGTTGTTTCTTGTATACAAAGAAAAGAGGAGAAGATAAAAAAAAAAAAAAAAAAAAAAAAAAAAAAATACACTACATTCCAAACACTTTAGCTATAATATTTACTATAAACTACAATAAATATTATGGAGAGTGCCAACTACATTTAATATTCTCAACACTCCTCCTTGTTCATCATAATATTTATATAACATAAAATTTGCATAGAATTATGATCTATATTTTTTTTGTAATCTTGCAAATTCAACAACTATTCCTTCATTAAAACTTGATCTAAGAAAACCTTATTGTATTCAAGAGCAAAACCATAGATGAAGAAAAAAAATATAATATTTTTTTTTTAATTATTTAAAGAATTTATTAACTTTTTTGCTTAAGAAAAGCAAATGGCCACATGTCAATGCCATAAGTAAGTTGGCGATGTTTGCACAAAGCAAGAGCTTTGGTAAAGAGATAAATAAGGTTATTTGCAGATTCAATTTTTTTGATCTTGAGTGCTTAATTAGTAACCAAGTCATGGGTATAGCTAAAATACTTTGAATCAATATACTTTATCACATCGCCTTTAATGAAACCAACTTGCATTTGTACAATACAAGTGCTATTGTCTTTATATAAGATAGTTGAAGAATTATCATATGAAAGTCTATAGATTGTTTGAATGAATTTATCAATTAATTGCAACTAAATATATTTCTAAGATGCTCCATGTAAGGCAATAATTTTTGCAAAGTTAAATGAAGTTGCAGTTATATTTTGTTTCACTAATTTTTATAATATTGCAGCTCCATGTTTTGAGATTATATAGCCTGTTTGAGATTTAGTTGTTGCAATATAAAATTTATATCTTCTATCACAATATCCAATAAATTTTGGATCTACAAATTGTATATAGTATAATTCTAAGTCTTCAATGCTTTTTAAATAATGTAATAAATGTTGAATGTCATTCCAATGTTGTAATATTGGACATGCTTTCTATCTTGTAAGAATAATAATTACAAATATAATATTTGGTCTTGTAGATGTGGGTAAATATAAAAGTGCTCCAATAGTTGCAAAGTATAGATATTGATCTCTCAATATTTCTTTCTCCTCTTCTTTGCATGGACAATATGGACTATTACCATCATAACCATGTTCAACCATTGATATTGATATTGATATTGAATAAGTGTCGATCATATTAAATTTCTATAAGATTTATCTAATATATTTTAGTTGATAGAAAAAAATGCTAGCATCTAAGAGATGTATAATTTAAAGACTAATATAGAAATTTATTTTTTCTAACATTTTCATTTCAAACTCTCAAATAAGTAGGTTAATAGCTGCAACGCATGCAAATCTAATTTCCACTAGATTAAGATCATCAACATATAGAACAATGATTACAAAATCATTTTTTTCTTTTTTGATAAACAAACAAAGAATCAATGGATCAATTGTAAATTTATTTGTAATTAAATAAACTTGAAGTTCTTGATACCACATGTGTTTCGATTATTTTAAATCATAGAAGGCCTTGTATAATTTAATACCATGATATTGTCATAGAACAAGTCTATTTGGAATTTATGTTTCCAAACCACGTGGAACTTTCATATAAATATCTTCATCAAGAGAACCATACATATACATAGTTATTACATCCATGAAATATATCTTAAGAGTAGTATGAATTGCCATTTTAATAATATATCAAAATATAATTGAATCCATGACTAAAAACTATGTAAATTCAGAATCAATACCAAATTGTTAGATAAATCCTTAGACAACAAGAGAAGCTTTACAGCAAATTATTTTTCTCTTAGCATCTTCTTTGCATACTAATACCATCTTATATCTCACATAGTGAGATATAAGAATATCTATACTTGGGTCAAAGACTTTCCTCTTAAACAAAGATGCATATTCCTCGTAGATATTAGATTTTTATTTTAACCAATCAAAGCGATCCATCACTTCTTTAATAATTGAGGTTCAAAATCATCTTTCGTGCAAAAAAGAGCTTCTATGATTATTCATGCAAATGATTCATTTATTGTAATAGATGGTCTATTCTAAATATTATTTGTAACATAATATAGAATAGATAATTTTGTACTCAACTTGGTTTTATTCATTCTAATTTCAAGATTTTCTATTGCATGAAGTAAATATATAATTTGCATGGATATATCATCATTAATTGATGGTTCCATAGATTTAATAGGAACTTCTATAAAAACAATACTAGAAAAAATAAATGTTATAGCCTTCTTCTTACATGGTTTCTTATTTGGTCCACAAGTCTTTTTAGTTTTTGATATTATAACATAAAATATATTAATTAGTAGTATTGGAATCTGAGTATATGTACTTTGAGCCTCATTAATGGAAAATTTTGTAATTTGAGGTACATCATTAAAGCCATCAGATATCTTATTTGCTATCCATTTTAGATACAAAATCTTTACAATTTCAATTTCAACCAAAGATGTCTTAAGATCGAGATTCATTATAAATGTTTTAGATGCTTTAAATACAAATATTCTATTTCTTTGTTGATTAGATATTCTTCTTGGAAGAGATGGAAATACATTCTCTTCAAAACGGAAATTTTATAAATGTGCACATAATAATGTGTCAATTGATGAATTAAGAATATGAATAATACTTGGTGCATCAAAACCAACATATATACTCTCTTGTCAATGAACTCCAATAGTACATCATTGAAGTTTTGATACTAAAACTCAAGCATGGCAATCAAACACCTATAGATAAAATACATTAAAAATATAACCCAAAATAAATTCTTGTGGTGTAATAATTTTAAGAAAAAAATAATGGAAGCATATTAATATTGCAACATGCAAAACTACATGATCCCATATAGATGCAGGTAAATTTGTCTAAAGAAGGAGTGGCCAAGTAATAAGTTGTATATGTTTTATAAATGAATT